AAGGGTGTTTCTCTCAAATCTCACCCCTTTACACTTAAACCCCAAAGATCCTTTCTACAGATCACTCTTGAAAGAATGAACACACCCCCAAGATCACTCACAAATAGAACAAGAAGAGGATTACAAATAAAGATCTCTCAAAGATCAAAATCTCAAGTTAAAGCACAAGTCGGTAGGTAAAGATATTCAATACAATGCTCTCTAAACTTGTTCATATCTGTTATCAACCATATTAGCCCCTTGCTCGAATATAGCCGTTTCTAACTGTTGGGGGTCATTAAATGCCCTGCAAGACGCAAAGCTTGAGTTGCAGGATTGTCAGGAGGGCCGGCTTAACTTCCTAAAGCCGGCTCTGTACAGCTGGCTTACCATTTCTACAGTCGGCTCTGCGGGTTTCCTGCACATTCTGTTTTCCTCAAGAGCCGACTGCAAGACTTTGAGCCAGCTTTGGAACTCCGACTTTAAACACATTAAATATTCTTCAAAAGAGTCGACCGTTGTGTATTAAATCCACCCTCATAGCCGGCTATAAAGTTGGAGCCGACTCTGCTTCCATTTTCCGCGCGCGCCAACACAGCAGTTGAATTTCTGGCCCGTAGAGCCGGCTCAACAAAATATGCAGCCGGCTCTTTGCACTTTTGCTTCCCTGAGCCGGCTGCAATTTTCTTAAGCCGGCTCTCTGCATATTTTTACCCTTTGAGCCCTTTTTAATGCAATCTCATTTTGCGTATTTTGCAGTATATTGGCAATTTAAATACACACTTAAATAAATCAATTAGTCACTCAAATGTGTTTTGTAATCATCAAAATCATAGGTACAACACATATCCCATCTACCATATCAAGATCATACTTACAAAACTCAACCTTTCTATAAAACTCCCACACTGTTATTTTTTCTAGGTCTACATTCCAAACATAGCACTCCCCATCAACGTATTTAAGGCCATTGTTTTGCACTAACCTACCACCAACATGCAGGAATATTTTGGCAGTGTTGGCTGACTTATTATCTCTCTATGAAAAAAAAAGAAAAGAAAAACTCATTAAAGACAGTCGAACAACCAATCTATCATGCAATTATATTTTACATAGTTAAACTAAGAAAACCACAAATTACTATTGTAATCACCCTAACCCATACAAAAACAAAGAGATCAAGTGGGGACCCAATGTCCTTTTTGCTACCAACTTGAGAAACATACTGAAAAACAACTTTAAATTGCTCTTAGGACATCACCCAACACCTTCACACATCTTGAAAGAAAATAAACTGAAAAAAGATTCAAACCTCGTCCCTATTGAGATCTGGGTTGGCATCAACATCTACGATGTTCGAAGACTCCATTGTTCTTCGATTTCTACTCCTTTCAGCACTAAACGTGAAAATTCGAAAGTGAAAGATCAAAGATTTGCTAGCAAAAAGCAGGAAGGAGAATGGGACTTTTGGCTTTTCTGCAAGTACAGTGTGCCCCTTGCTCTTCTAGGGTTCAAATGGGAAGAAGGGGAGAAGATACTGAATTTGGGCAGGAGGTGGGCCCCACATTTTTTTTTTGCTTGGCGGGAATCTGACGTGTTTTATGACATGTCATCTTTTTTCCATGTGTACATATGACGTGTCGCGACATTTAGACATGTCATCGTGTTCCCATTAGTTAACAGTACACATCACTGGATTTTTAACGGAATGACCAAATTGGGGTAAAAATGGTAAACAGTAGGAACCAAATCAGGGATTTTTTTAGTTCAGGGACCAAATCAGAGGTCTATACAATAGTTCAGGGACCAAAAAGGGGTTTTAACCTTAAATAAATCTATATACATATAAAATGCTACCCTATGCATTAAATAGGGTAGCA